GAGTTAGCGTTTTCTTTTGTTTCGAGTTTATTTACCTTCAGGGTCGTCTTTTAAATTAATTTTATTATTTATCTTATTTTAAATAATACGGTTTCGTTCGTGTAAGCTAAACACGTATCGTGGCGCAATGGTCACTTGTGCAATATCGCACTCGTGACAGTATCCCCTACCGCACATACAAGACTTTACGTACTGCCTGGCCAAATTTTTTCTAAAATTGATCTAGTCAAAGCATTTTTTCAAATCCCAGTAGCAGAAGAAGATAGGCAAAAAACGGCGATAACTACACCTTTTGGGCTATTTGAGTTTAACCAGATGCCTTTCGGGCTGCGGAATGCAGCACAATCGTTCCAAAGGTTCATCGATGTAGCACTTCGAGGACTAGATTTCTGTTTCGGCTATATCGACGATATATTGGTAGCATCAAAGGATGAAAAGGAACACTATCACCACCTAGAAACACTCTTCCAACGACTAAAGGAATATGGCATAACCATAAACGTGGCTAAGAGCAAATTCGGCAAAAAAAAATAGACTACTTGGGATATACAATCGAAAATAAGGGAATTAAACCAATCCCTGACAGAGTCGATGTCATTACAAACTTCAAAAAACCAAACAATATCACCGAACTCAGGCGGTATCTAGGAATTATTAACTTTTACCATCGCTTCATCAGGAACGCAGCAACATTACTAGCACCGCTCAATAAGTACCTGGTAGGAGCAAGGAAGAAAGACAAACGTCCAGTAATTTGGACTCCAGAAGCTGACGCGGCCTTTGAAGAAAGCAAGAGACGCCTAGCAGAGTCAACACTTCTAGTATACCCGCTCAAAGACACCAAGCTTATTCTAAGAACAGATGCTTCAAATTTGGCCATAGGATCTGTCTTAGAACAGTACCAAGAAGGTGAGTGGAAACCGCTAGGATTTTTTTCAAAAAAATTAACAAGCACCCAACAAAAGTATAGTACATACGATCGGGAGTTACTAGCTATCTACTCCAGTCTAAAATTTTTCCGACATCTAGTGGAAACCAGAGACATTACAATAGCAACCGATCATAAACCACTATTATACGCCTTCCAGCAAGCATCAGACAAAGCATCTGAGAGGCAAAGGAGGCAACTCGACTTCATCAGCCAAATCACAACCAAAATAATCCACGTCAGCGGAAAAGATAACGGAATTGCAGATACCTTATCACGATTAGAAGTAATTAACATGCCAGTTATTGTATCGACAGATGAACTATATGCAGAACAGCAAACAGACGCTGAACTCAGGACGTTACTAGATTCCCAAACAGCCTTATCATTAAAAAAACTACGCCTGGACGACAGCGAGAAAACGATATATTGCGATGTATCAGACTCAATTAGAATATACGTTCCAGTTTCCCTACGCAAGAGGATTTTCAAAGTCTCGCACGGCCTATCTCACCCGAGTATAAGAACAACCAAAAGAATCATTACTGAAAGATTCACTTGGCCAAATATTCAAAAAGACATCGCTAGATGGGTGAAAACTTGTCTCGCATGCCAAAAAGCGAAAATATCGCGACATAACGTGAGGATTCCAGAACAAATTACAGTTCCCGACGAAAGATTTCATCAAGTCCACGTGGATATAGTGGGACCGCTCCCGGTCTCAAAAGGATTCAAATACTGCCTCACCATGATCGATAGAACTACGAGATGGCCGGAAGCTACACCAGTAACAGACTGTACAGCCGACACAATAACGAACGCCTTCTTCAATACATGAATCGCTCGTTTTGGCGCACCAGCGGTAATTACAACCGATCGAGGCGCCCAATTTGAATCCGCTCTCTTCGAATCCATGGCCAAGCTGGTTGGTAGTAGAAGAACAAGGACTACGGCATATCACCCCCAATCAAATGGCATGGTGGAAAGATGACACCGCTCACTCAAATCCGCAATCAAATGCCACATGTCACAAGAATGGGTCGACATACTACCACTGGTACTCCTGGGATTACGAGCAAGCTATAAAGCAGACATCAAAGCATCTCCAGCAGAGATGGTCTACGGAACCACCCTGAAGCTACCCGGAGAGTACTTCACCACCGAAGATCCAATTGGATGCCCACAGATATTCGTTGAAAAACAGAGAACGTATGCGCATGGTCCGAGGACCCCCCACAACACACCATACAAAAAAGAAGACGTTCCTGCACAAAGAAATGGAAGACTGCACCCACGTATTTGTACGAGTGGACCGTCCAAGAGGACCCTTAGAGCTCCCATACGAAGGTCCATTTCCAATTATAACAAGATTATCAGATTTTATTTACAGAATCAACTACAAAGGACATCCAGAGGAAATAAACATAGACAGACTAAAGACTGCCCTCATAGAGGAAGGAGAAGACTAAACCCCAACTCCAACCCCAGACGACCTTCCCCACGGTGTTCTTCAACCACTGCCGTCCGGATCGAACATAGAGTACAAAAAACAAGGAAGGGTCAGATTCGTACACTCGACCAGCGAGTCACTGGAAGGGGAATAGTGTGGCGGCAGCACTTGTCCAGAAATACTCATCTAGTGACTTCGTCAGAGAGAGACACAGTATTGGTGGATTTTGAGAACACAAGACTAACGTTCGTCGTCTGACACGTGCAAGGAAAGATATATTGTATCGATCTCATAAGTCTCATTGTTAAAAAATAAAGAGTTTATATTTTTGGTAATCCGGAAATACAATTAAGAACCTATCACGCCCTACAAGCAATCCAGTGCTTACGTTGAATACTGAACGGTAGAGAGTCCGGTTTGCCATATGTGATATATGGCAGACGACGAACGTTAGTCTTGTGTTCTCAAAATCCACCAATACTGTGTCTCTCTCTGACGAAGTCACTAGATGAGTATTTCTGGACAAGTGCTGCCGCCACAGTGACGCGCTCAGTGGAAACTCAGCCTTAAGATTCGTTAACATGCGCAGTCACGAATTGAATACGACTTATATAGAACGACAGAGAGGACTAATGAAGCGCAAGAGTGGGGGAAGTTATCCGCCGCCACTTTTTGCCTCATCCGCTCTAAAGCGGGATCTACAATAAAAGTCATAGAGTCTTAAGTCGTAGAAAATTAACCAATCACAGTAGAATATGTGAAGAATAATCGACTATAATTGGTCAATTTTCTACGTCTTAAGACCCTACGACCGCTACGACTTCTATTGTAGACCCCGCATAACACTATTGGCACCGAGGGCACCGAGTTGATCGAGTTGACTCTCCTTAAGCCCGTATCAGACTACCGACTCTGCAAGCCGTCCCGACTGTCAATTCTGACTGCCTACTATTATTGGACCAATCACAATGAGACTGATTCAATGTGATTGGTTCATTATTGGTCGGCAGTCAGAGTTTGCAGTCGGTTCAGCTTGCAGAGTTGGTAGTCTGATGCCTCCGGCACACCAACGCGACGAACATCGCGCTGGTGTGCCGGAGAAATAATACGGGCTTTAGTTCTAGATTTCTTGGTGAATACTCACATTTATAATGCCTTAACTGGGCCTTTGATACTGTGATCCGCAAAGAGGATCGGAAAACTAAACAGGGGTTATTGAAAAACTGGGTCTTAATCAATAACATATATATATATACATATATATATATAACGATAATTGTATATATATATATACATTTTTCTATATACTTACAAGCATAAATAAAGTATAAAGAAAATATGTGTATAAAGAATTCTTTTAAAAATATACATTTTGCATTCGAATTTA